AGTAGTAGAAGTAAGCGTATAGGTAAAGAGAGGTATATAGACGTAGAGAGAAGACGCGTAAAAGGCTAAGAGTAGAGAAGTTTATAGATGCTAGCTACTACTAGTAGTATATATAGTAGTAGTATAGGTATAAGTAGCGCGCTTCTACTTATTTAGCTATATATAGTTAGTATATAATTCTTTAGAGCTTATAATAAAGATCTAGATTAAGTATAAAAAAATTACTAATTATAATAATAAGCTAGATACTCTTAGAAATAATATATATATAAGCTATAGAGAGTTTATTAGTAAAAAGAAAAAGTAAGCTTAAGAAGAGCTTATTTACCTCTATAAGTAGTAAATAGAGAGGTTACGTAAGTGTTACATAAACGCTAAGCTTACTAATAATCTATCTTTACTTTACGCTTAGTCTATTTACTTAATAGACGTACTACTTTATAGCGTATCTAGAGAGTATATTATAGAGTCTAAGCTATATACTATATAGAGATAACTTATTCTATACTCTAAGATTACTATATAGAGAGAGCTAAGCTCTCTAGTTCTAATATAGTAATCTTCTTTCTTATTTTTCTTACCTAACTAAGTAACTTCTACTAAGCTTTTTTTTTTCTCTATAATAGTCTAGCTATATAAAGCTATATATTATAAGCTTATATAAATTATAAGCTTTCTAGATATTTAGAAGTAATAATTTTAAGATAGTTTTAGTATAGTTCTATTTTTTTCTACTATACTATAAAAAGGCTTTACTTTTAAATAACTACTTAAAGCTAGTATATTATTAGTTAATAAGCTCTATATAGTTTAAGTATACTATAATTTATATAATTATAAGTTTATATAGCTAGATTAACTAATATATATATAGTTAGAAGAGTAAACTCTAAAGAAGAAATTCTTCTAACTTCTATCTCTTATTACGCTATATCTAGAAGAGCTAGCTCTATAAAAGTTTTCTAGAAACCTTTATTTAGTTATAAATACTATATACTATAAGTTTTATAGATTATTATAGAGATATAATAGTATCTATTAGAAGAAAACTAGGTTTTTTCTTAAAAGTTAGTTAAATACGTATAGCTTTTTAATTACATAATATATCTTAGTATAGTTTTAGTAGTAGGTGTATATAGTATAGGTCTATCTATATTTAAACTTTTATAGAAAAATATTAAGGTTTTACTTAGTTATTTTAGAAAAACTCGTTAATTTTCGTTAATTTTCCTTACTAAGAAACTCTAGAGAGTTTATTTATATAAGAGGTTTATTTATAAAGTACGTTAACTATTATTATTATTAAGAAGCTTTCTAGAGCTTCTTTTTTATTAGTAGCTTTATACTATAGTTTATAGTAGACTACGCTCTTATCTACGTCTAAACTATTCTTTTCTATTAACTTATACTATCTATCTATAGTTCTATAATAACGTACTTTACCACCGAAAGCTCTACACTACCGAACGCCCCACGATTTCTTGGCAAGGAAAATCAACGAAAATTAACAGGTTTTTCTTAAATAACTAAGCGAAACCTTAATATTCTTCTATAAAAATTTATATATATATTCTCTATAGTATATTACACCTTATATTAAAGTTGCACTAAGAAATATTACGTAATTAAAAAGCTATACGCATTTAACTAACTTTTAGAAAAAATCTAGTTTACTTCTAGTTAGTACTATTATATCTCTATAATAATATATAAAACTTATAGTATATAGTATTTATAACTTAGTAAAGGTTTCTAGAAAACTTCTATAGCGCTAGCTCTTCTAGGTATAGCGTAATAAGAGATGGAAGTTTATAAGAAGTCTTTCTAGAGTGTTCTTCTCTAACTATATATATATATTAATAATCTAGCTATATAAAGTTATATATTATAAGATTATATATACTATAAGCCTTCTATATATTTAGAAGTAATAATTTTAAAATAGTTTTAGTATCTTTCTATCTTTCTATACTATACTACTAAAAAGACTTTACTTTTAAATAACTAATTAAAGCTACTATATTATTAGTTAATAAGCTCTATATAGTTAAAACTAACTATAATATATAAAATAATAAGTTTATATAGCTAGATTAACTATATATATATATAGTTAGAAGAGAAAACTCTAAAGAAGATATTTTTCTAACTTCTATCTCTTATTACGCTATTTCTAGAAGAGCTAGCGCTATAAAAGTTTTCTAGAAACCTTTACTAAGTTATAAATACTATATACTATAAGTTTTATATATTATTATAGAGATATAATACTACTTACTAGAAGTAAAGTAGATTTTTTTTTAAAAGTTAGTTAAATACGTATAGCTTTTTAATTACGTAATATATCTTAGTGCAACTTTAATATAAGATGTAATATACTATAGAGAATATATATATAAATTTTTATAGAAAAATATTAAGGTTTCGCTTAGTTATTTAAGAAAAACCTGTTAATTTTCGTTGATTTTCCTTGCCAAGAAATCGTGGGGCGTTCGGTGGTGTAGGGCTTTCGGTGGTAAAGTACGTTACTCTATTCTCTTCTCTTAATTTTAGCGTCTTTTAAGTTCTTTTATGCGTAGGCGTAGTCAGCATAACCTCTATAGGTTGGTGACTTAAAACGAGAGAAATCAATCAATCAACCGAAGGCAACTGCGCCAAGGTCAGCCACGGCAACGAAGACGCTCCCAATCCGCGACGCCTGGATCGTGGACAGTGGCTGTGCCCAGTACGTCTGCAACAGCGCCTTGAAATTTGTTCAGGTGGACAAGTATCATGGGCCAACACTTAGAAGCGTCGATGCTTCCACGTTTCCCTCGGGAGTGGGGACGATATATGTCCTGTGCAACGTACGGGGCAGACGGAAATGGCTTGTCCTCGATAACGTCCTCCTTGTCCCATCCGCGCACGCAAACCTCATATCCGTGCTCCAGCTACTCAAACGCGGAGCAAAGGTCGAGTTCTCAAGCCAGGGTGCCAGTATTCGCAAGAAATCAAATGGAAAGAGTCTATACACCGCAAGCCAATATCAAGGAGTTTACGCACTCGATCTATGGACGAACCTCTCATTTCCGGCCTATCACGTCAGCCCGCAAATGACTCTCTGGCACAACCGACTAGCCCACATGAGCGATGCGAATTTACGACGGCTTAAGAAACAAGCCTATGGCATTCGAGACATAGAGCCACGAGAACTATGCAACCCGTGCCTTCAGGGACGAATGACTGAAAAGCCCCACAACCGCGCAGGCCGGAAGGGAGAATACCCAATGGAATTCCTTCACATGGACGTTGCAGGGCCATTCGATGAGGGCCTCGATGGAAGTCGTTACTAGCTCACCATCGTCGATGACTCGACCGGCTGGATTGAAATCATCCCCATACCACGACGACAGGGGTTTGTCATCGAATCGCTACGCTTTTTCCTCGACCATAATGAACGTCCTGAACGGAAGTGTAGACGAATACGTCTTGACCGAATCCCTGAACAAGTGGGAGAAGAAATGAAATTTACACTCTTCTCTCGGGCGATCCAAGCTGAGGTCACGGGCATTGATCAGCACCAGCAGAACGGTGCTGCCGAAAGAGCCCACAAGACAATATACGATCGAGTTGGGCCTACACTAGCACATGCCAAGCTCCCGCCAAAATTTTGGCCAGAGATAGCTCGAACAGCAGCATACCTTTCCAACCGATCCCCCTCGTCAAAGCTTCAGATGACACCATATCAGGCATGGTACGGCGAGAAGCCTGATTTGTCACGACTAAGAGTGATCGGATCGAAGGGGGAATATCTAGTCCCACCGAAGCAAAGGAAGAAGCTGACTGAGCCACGAACAAGGCCATGCATTTTATTAGGCTACGAGGGGAACACCAACTACCGCATCCTATTGGAAGATGGGAGGATTGTTGGAACCCCAAATGCCGAATTTCAAGAAGCCCCTATGACTCCCTCCACACAGACTATACAAGATGTGGGAGCCAAACGATATGGCTTACCTGAGGCAACGGCTGCTGCCGCAGGGGGGAGTGAGACGGTAGGGCTACTAAACCAACCGTCGGTAAGTATACGGCCAGCATCCGTGCCAGCCTCTGGACGCCACACGTGCGTGGCAGCGCCAGAGCAAGCCTGGTCTGAAACGAGCGACGAGGACTCGCAAATATTACCTCGTGTGGGCGCCGAGGACTCACAAAGACTACCTCGGGCGAGCACCAAGGACTCGCAAGTACTACCTTGGGCGGGCGACGGGGACTCGCAAATACTACCTCGGGCGAGTAACGATGACTCGCAAACACTATCTCGACCGAGTGACGATGACTCGCAGCCAGTTGCTGAACAGGGAGACATGACCTTGTCGCCTCACAGGAGTGACGATGCCTTCGGATCGTTTTCAGAGACTTCGCAAGGGGACGAATCACTGCCTAATGGCGACCAGCAACGGGACAACACTCGACATGACCAAGCCTCAGGAGAACGGCAACGATATACTCGACGATCGACTGCCGGATACTTGTTCAACATTGGGAGTGGAGCAATCAGCTGGCAATTCAAGCGCCAGAGCGTTGTTGCGCTTTCGACCTGTGAGGCCGAGTTCATAGGGCAGACACAGGCAACCAAGGAAGCGATCTGGCTACGAAGACTGCTCAATGAACTGAATTTGTGTCAAGGGAAGGCCGCGACGATCATCTGTGGCGACAACCAAGGAACCATCGCTCTGTCCTCGAACCCGCAATACCACTCACGCACGAAGCATATGGACATCCAACGCAAGTGGCAAGGAGAGGTTCAAGAGGCTGGGACCGGGAACTGAAGTATATCCCAACTACGGAGCAAATCGCCGATGGATTCACCGAGGCCCCGTTGTAATCACCGAGCCAGATCCGAGGGCACGTGGAATATTCTTGGCAGAGTGGTCGGCGTCTCTTCGGCCGACGAAAGTGCCGAAGTTATTCCGGACCAGCCTCCTAGTCTCTGCGCGGTTCTCCTCTTCCTCTAACCCTCGCAAAGTCGTCCTGCCCACATTCATCTGTATACTTAGAAGTCACCGTATACCGCCTTTGCAACAGCGCGTCTTCTATATTTCTCCCTCTTACGTCGTGGCAACACTTGTTACGCAGTCGCACAACCATCGTGTCGCCAGTCGCCGTTTTCACCATGGCTAGCAGATCGGAGATAATCGAAAAACATCCCATCGGAGGAGGTTTAAAAACCTTTCGCGACTCTTTCCACTGCCCGTCCGCGAACTTCGATGCAGCCTACCAGATAAGCAATGAAGGTATGTTTACCCATAACCACAGTTCCTTCTAATATATCCAGGCCTTAAAACCACACTGATCGAGCTCATTACCGAACTCCAGAACCTACCTACAGCTCTAAAACTCCCGCCCTCCACGGGTCGTGGCACCCTCCGTCATGACCTCCAGCGGCTAGAGCTTTCAGTTCACACTGACGACTTTGATCTCGAATCGCTCGTTCCTCTTCTCCGCGCAGTCCTCAAGGATGAGCCCGATGAGATCATCTGGAATAAAGTCTACGACGCCGTCACCGAATCGACCCCTCCACCCCGTCCCGCATCCTCCGTTCCACAGACGCCATGGCTGCGCAACATGAGTAGCTTCGCCAACTCGACCGAGCACCGCAAATACGTAGACGACGTGCTAAAGGAGGAGCTAGGGCATATGTATGTCGGGGTCCCTGGTTTCTTTAAAGCCTTCTTCGGCAAAATCGCAGGCCTCGAGCTGACAGCGCAAGCCGTGCTGGAAAGGTGCAAAGCAGGGGATAATCCGCTCTACCAGGAGGAGAGCGGCTGGCAGGGCTGGCCTAAAGGGGCGAGAGAGCGGGATGTCCTGCGCTGGTTCGCCAAGCTTACGGGCCAGTTTTGGGACTTTGCAGAAGAGCACCAGCCGGCGGCCTCTGTGGCTCGACGGCGACCGCTCGCACAGCCTTCCAAGCCCTTGCAGGGCTCCACGGCCGACCGCAAGTTGGATGTCGGCTTCGTGGACGACCCAAGCGCCGGCGAGGACTCCAAATGCCACTGGAAGCAGATTCTCGTGCCAGGAGAACTCAAGAGTAACCCTTCTGCCGACAGAGCCTCTAAAGCATGGCTCGATCTAGGACGATATGCGCGAGAGGTGCTCGCCGCTCAAGACACCCGCCGGTTCGTCCTTGGCTTTACTCTGTGCGGGCCGCTTATGCGGCTGTGGGAGTTCGACCGGCTTGGGGGTATCGCTTCTCTGCAATTCGATGTTAATAAAGAGGGGTTTCAGTTTGTGTCTGCAGTGCTCGGGTTCCTCTGGCTGAATGAGGAGCAGCTTGGATTTGATCCTACCTTTATTACCGCCGGCGCGACTCGATACATCGAGATCGAACGAAACGGTCTTAGAGAGCGTCTTATTATCGATAAGGTGATGAAGCGGGCACCTTGCATCGCCGGCCGAGCGACGACCTGCTGGAAGGCCCATCGTGCCGGAGACAGTTCGCGAACGCCCCTTGTCATTAAAGACTCGTGGCAGTTCCCGGAGCGTAAGAAGGAGGGAGAGTTGCTGCGCGAGGCAACTAACAAGGGCGTAGCCAACGTCGCGAGGTACTATTACCATGAGACGGTTCAGGTGGGCGGTCAGGACGATGACATCCGGGAGAACGTACGACGTGGCCTGGACATAACGACACCAGAAAACTACGGGCCGGAAAGCTCAATGCCGCCACCGAACACGGCTGGACGTCGCATCTCGCGGAAGGGCCAAACCAGCAGCGTCGCTGGGAGAAAGCGGTCCTCGAGCTGCACGGACGCGCCTTTGCCGCCTAGTAAGCGAACATGTTCGAGCTCTACGACAAAGAACCGAGTACATCGCCGCGTTATTGTCCAGGACTACGGGAAGGCCATCTACAGAGCAAGCTCCTTGGCTAGTTTTATTGCTGCGTTCGAAGGCTGCATTAAAGGGTACGAGTCGTTGCACACCAAGGCCGGCATGTTGCAAGGCGATATCTCACCAAACAATCTCATGATGAATGAAGAAGATGACAACCCATCCTGGCGCTCGTTCTTGATCGACCTTGACCTTGCAATCAAGGAGCAGCGGGAGAAATCTTCTGGAGCATGGGGCAAGACCGGCACACGGGCGTTTATGGCAATCGGGGTGCTTCTTGATGACGAAGAGCATTCGTTCATGCACGATCTGGAGTCGTTCTTCTGGGTGCTATTCTGGATATGTATTCACTATGACGGACTAGGTAAAGACATTGGGTCAACACAGTTCGAGTGTTGGAACTACGAGAGCGATCGGAAGCTGGCTGAGCTCAAGAAAGGCTTAATCTCTGATGAGAGAGATTTTCTGGACACTGCGAAGATGGAGTTCACGTCATATTTTGAGCCTCTCATTGTTTACGTCAACAGATTGCGGAGGAAGGTGTTTCCTAATGGTGGGAGGTGGAGGAAACCGAGTCCGAAACTATACGTGGAGATGAAAGAGATACTTCGGGCAGCACAGGATAAGTTGAAGGGATTGGAGTGACGGTGAGATGCCATGTGGCCTACGTGGTAGGGGCGCCAGCACGTTAGTGTAGCAGTGGTCTTCTCACCTAGAGTAGGTTAGCACTGATGCCGCGGTAGAACGTGTAGACACCTACCACTACATCCTAAGAACTGATATTTTGTCGAAAGCAGAGCTGAGCCCGACGTGTTCCACTTATCGTGGGTTAACAGGTGTACTAGAATGTGCAGGTTTCTCGCGGCGGTGGCTTACGGGGTGAGCGCGACCACGGCTCGAACACACAGCGGTCACTAGTTTCCATGCTCATGATAATCCTGGGGGAGGGACGTCTGTTACAGTTGTCTCGCAGGTTTTTCTTACTCCTAGACCTTGCGGTAACTGCATGGCATGTTTACTCCCCTTACTATAATTTTCGTCGAGAAGAACAGAGGGCATATAACTACAGGCTTCTATTTCGAGTAATGGATACACATAACGTACTTTACAAACGAAAGTCTTACATAAACGAAAGCCTTAAAAATGCCAAGCCTCTACTAAAAAGCTACTATTTTAATTAGATTACTCTAACTCTAAGCTACTTAAGATAAATCTAGATAAGCTATCTAACTTATCTATATTATTTATAACTAACGTACTTTACAAGCGAGCTAGCCACACAAGCGAGCTGGCTACTATCTCTTGGCAAGAAAAATTAATAAGAATTTACGAGTTTTTCTTAAATAACTAAGCGAAACCTTAATACTTTTCTATAAAATTTTAAATATAGATAGAACTAGAGTATATATATCTACTACTAAAATTACACGAAGATATATTACGTAATTAAAAAGCTATACGTATTTAACTAACTTTTAAGAAAAAGTCTAGTTTACTTCTAGTAAGTACTAGTAAACCTATATAATAATCTATAAAACTTAGAGAATATAATATCTATAACTTAATAAAGATTTCTAGAAAACTTTAATAGAGCTAGCTCTTCTAGAAATAGCGTAATAAGAGATAGAAGTTAGAAAACTATCTTTTTAGAGTTGTCTTCTTTAACTATATATATATATTAATAATCTAGCTATATAAAGCTATAAATTATAAGTTTACTTATATTATAATCTTTCTATATATTTAGAAGTAATAATTTTAAGATAGTTTTAGTATATTTCTATCTTTCTATACTATACTACTAAAAAGACTTTACTTCTAAATAACTACTTAAAGCTAGTATATTATTAGTTAATAAGCTCTATATAGATAGAACCTACTATAATTTATAGAATAATAAGTTTATATAGCTAGATTAGCTATATATATATATAGTTAGAAGAAAAAACTCTAAAGAAGATATTTTTCTAACTTCTATCTCTTATTACGCTATACCTAGAAGAGCTAGGTCTATAGAAGTTTTCTAGAAATCTTTATTAAGTTCTAAATATTATATTCTATAACTTTTATAGATTATTATAAAGGTTTACTAGTACTTATAAGGTTAAAACTCTAAAAATAGCTACTTTTTAGAAAAAGACTTATCTTAAGCTTACATAATAAGAAACATATAGTGTAATTTTAATAGTAGGTGTATATAGTATAGTTCTATCTATATTTAAAACTTTATAGAAAAATATGAAGGTTTCGCTTAGTTATTTAAGAAAAACCTATAAATTCTTATTAATTTTTCTTGCTAAGAGATAGTAGCTAGCTTGCTTATATAGCTAGCTTACTTATAAAGTACGATATCTAGTATATTTACGTATTATACTCTAGCTTACTATAGTATCTATAGCGTTACTAAGCTAGCTAGCTATTATATACTACTACTTCTTTATACTACTTCTTACTCTTATTTTAGTCTATAGCCTTTCTTTAAGTAACTAGCTATAAGCTAGCTTTAATTATAAGAGTATTCTCTTTCTAAATCTACTTTTTTTTATATAAATTACGCTTCTTTTTCTATACGTTAGCTACTTAAAGCTAGGTAACTTTAGACTTTATAAGTACTAGCTAATATATTATTAGCTTATTACCTTTCTTAAGCTAATTAAGTAACTTAATAATATAAGTTAGTAATAAATTAAGATACTATATAATCTTTAATTAAATTAGAGTTAATTAGAATCTTACTTTAATAAGATTACTAGGTATTTTATACTTTTAGATAGTAGTATTAGTAGTAGAGAGTATTAGTATATATAATTAATCTTTAAGCTTTAATACTACTAAATCTAGATTAAATAAAACTAAGCTAGTATCTCTAAATTCTACTCTAATATTATTATCTATAATTAACGCATAAAAAGCTATATAAAATATAAGTAGAAACTTAGTTTTTATAATATAGTTAATATAGCTACGTATTAGAATCTTAACTTAGTAGCTATATACTATCTTTAATAGTAAGAAGTAGCTAATATTAAGTAGCTATAGAAGGTATAATAAATATACTAGTATATAGAGAGCTATAATTTTATTCTTCTTATAGTACTACTAAAATTTAACTAAGCTATAGCTTTTATAGCTATCTAAAATTAGTAGATAATATATATCTATAACGTAATTCTTAGTATACGTATTAAAGTACTTTAACTATATAATCCTAACCTTATTTATTATCTAGCTACTTTTAGAGATAACGTACTTTATAAACAAACGCTCTACACAAACGAACGCCCTAAAAATGCTAAGCTAGAAAAATTAAAAGGTTTTTCTTAAATAACTAAGCGAAACCTTAATATTCTTCTAAAAACTTTTAAACATATATAGAACTATACTATATACACCTTCTATTAAATTTGTACTATATATTTCCTATTACGTAAGCTAGAAGTAAGCCTTTTTCTAAAAGTAGCTATTCTTTAAGTTTAAATCTTAATAGTACTAGTAGACCTTAATAATAATCTATAAAACTTTAAAGATATATTATATACTATAGTATAAAGCCTTCTATAAAGTTTAGTAGCGTTTAGCTTAGTAATACTAGAGATATTTACTTAAAGAGTCTCTAATAAGAAGTTTAGAGGTTTCTTCTAGAAATAGATAGATATTACTAAGCTAGACGCTACTAAACCTTATAAAAGGCTTTATATTATACTATATAATATATATTTAAAGTTTTATAGATTATTATAATAGTTTACTAGTTCTTATAAGGTTTAAACTCTAAGAATAGCTACTTTTAGAAAAGACTTATTTTAAGCTTACGTAATAGAAAATATATAGTATGAATTTAATAGTAGGTGTATGTAGTATAGATTAATATATATTTAAATTTTTATAGAAATATATTAAGGTTTCGCTTAGTTATTTAAGAAAGACTCGTTAATTCTTAGGCTTAGCATTTTTAGGGCGTTTGTTTGTGTAGAGCATTTATTTATAAAGTACGTTAGCTATAATCTAGTTATATAGTAGCTAGCTACTCTTATACTATACTAAGAAGTAGTTCTTATCTATAATAATAAAAATAGTAGAATCTATATATTATCTACTACTCTTACTATTATAATTACTAAAATCTACTTATAATTATCTAGTTAAAAACTCTTTAGTTATAATTATCTCTTAAAGCTAGTAACTACTATCTAAAGCAATATTATTTCTATTATAAAGCTAGATTTATTAAAATTATACGTATCTTTATTAGTAATACTATACTTTATCTTTATATTACCTACTAGATTAAACTATACCTAAATAATTATAGAATTTTCTTACTTTACTTTCTAATAGTTATACTTATAATTAAGCTATATTTTAAGCTTAGAATAGCGTATAATAAAGTAGTTTAGCTAGTTCTTACCTATAACCTTTTTCTTTTACTTAGTAAGTATCTAATTAGCTATATCTTAAATAGTAGTAAGCTAGAAAGTAAGTTCTTATACATCTAGGTCTAGTATATACTTAACTATTATCTACTCTTTATTTATAGTAAGCTTTATTAAATTAAGTGTCTTTTTATATCTTTAAGTTACTTTATTATGTTAACGTACTTTACAAGCGAACCGACTATACAAGCGAGCCGACTACCTTTCTCTTAGCAAGAAAATTAACGAAAATTAACCTGTTTTTCTTAAATAACTAGGCGAAACCTTAATATTTTTTATAAAAATTTATATATATATTCCCTATAGTATATTACACCTTATAGTAAGGTTGCACTAAGATATATTACGTAATTAAAAAGCTATACGTATTTAGGTAACTTTTAAGAAAAATCTAGTTTACTTCTAGTTAGTACTATTATATCTTTATAATAATATATAAAACTTATAGAATATAGTATATATAAGTTAATAAAGGTTTCTAGAAAACTTTTATAGAGCTAGCTCTTCTAGGTATAGCGTAATAAGAGGTAGAAGTTTAAAAAAATCTTTTTAGAGTTTTCTTCTCTAACTATAAATATATATTAATAATCTAGCTATATAAAGTTATATATTATAAGTAAATATATATTATAAGCCTGCTATATATTTAGAAGTAATAATTTTAAGATAGTTTTAGTATCTTTCTCTCTTTCTATACTATACTACTAAAAAGGCTTTACTTTTAAATAACTACTTAAAGCTTCTATATTATTAGTTAATAAGCTCTATATAGTTAGATCCTACTATAATTTATATAATAATAAGTTTATATAGCTAGATTATCTATATATATATATAGTTAGAAGAGTAAACTCTAAAGAAGATATTTTTCTAACTTCTATCTCTTATTACGCTATACCTAGAAGAGCTAGGTCTATAAAAGTTTTCTAGAAACCTTTATTTAGTTATAGATACTATATAATATAATTTTTATATATTATTATAAAGATATAATAGTACTAACTAGAAGTAAACTAGATTTTTCTTAAAAGTTACCTAAATACGTATAGCTTTTTAATTACGTAATATATCTTAGTGCAACCTTACTATAAGGTGTAATATACTATAGGGAATATATATATAAATTTTTATAGGAAAATATTAAGGTTTCGCTTAGTTATTTAAGAAAAACAGGTTAATTTTCGTTAATTTTCTTGCTAAGAGAAAGGTAGTCGGCTTGCTTATATAGTCGGTTTGCTTATAAAGTACGTTAATTATAAATTCGCTTCTAAAGTATATTATAGAGAGCGTAAATATATTATAAGCTTAGCTCTAGATTCTACTAGATAGTCTAAAGTATAAGCTATATCTAGAATTT